TTCCATTTTGAGATTTTATCATTGTATATTGTTATTATTTCTATATCTCGTACTTATATTGAAGTTTTTATGTTTCCTTCTGAACTGTTCATACGTTGTTTAAATTTGATATTTATTATGGCTACAGCCATATTTGGATTTGATACTCTAGCAGTAACGGACTGGAAGCACTTCTCGTTCTGGAAACGGAACCTATTGTGGTTATTGAAAATTCGAAGGTGTAATATTATTTTTGATAATTGTCTGTATTTCTTTTTTTTAATTAAAATAGAACCGTTCTCTTCCAGAATTATCGCTTTTGGAATGGGACTGCGTGGGACGCGTATGAACTTACACCATTCGGGTAAAAGCGGACTGCAAGGGTAATGATAATCCCTTTTTCAGTCAAAAATCAATATTTCGAGGAGGATCCTTTGGATTTTTTGTCGCTTAATATTTCAAAAACAATATTTGTAGAAGGCGATTCTAAATCAGCTTTTTGGACAATCTGGCGTAATCGCTCGTGAGACCTTGGAAGATTTGTTTAGATCTGAGAATGCTGTTTGTAACGATCCCGAACAGTTGTGGAATTTAGCAATTAAGATGTAGAACGTGACTCTGACTCTGGAGCAGGTAAATTACGCTGCGGAATTATATTCTTTAGTAACTTTGGAGCGGATAGTTAGGCTCTCGCCTCATCGTATGCAAGTCCAGTGGGCAGAGCTGGAAATTAAATGGGACAAGCAGGATAGGTAGCCTAAATTCAATGAATCGCCTGACTTTATTTTGTCTTGTGCAAGGATAGCTAGTAGTAGATTTGGAAGATTAGCTAATCGCACGAAAACAGGACATGATATGGAAGCGATGAGTCATCTGCGTGCGGGACATGGAAATTCTTCGAATGTGTTTGCGCCTTCCTCACGCCCGGAACGTAAGAGAGTTTTCAATTGTATTAGCAAGTTATATCCTCGTGAAGACCGAGCATGTAATCCCAATGGTTTAAAATCCCTTGATGACTATCCTAAAGAGAAGTCGATATCTGTAGCAGAGAAGGTGGCCTTTTTGTGGATAGACATCAAGGTAGACATCAAGACGGACCCAAGGTATGTGATGGTAGAAGTTTCCTAGCTGCTCGAAATGCAAGGAATGGTAATTTGGATTCGAAGAACCAGAGGTTAATGGTTGCAGTGAATATGAATAAGGACGAAACGGGTTTGACTGTACGGAGTGAAGCTTGTGTTCGGAACCCTTTACGTGGGGTTATTTATTTGACACGACCTAGAGCTGATCCTAGGACAACAAGCGTAAACATTGACACAGCCTTTCATGTTGCTGCACAATCAGGATGTCTTCAGGCTACTGTGTCTAGTTCTACGAAGTATCATGAGATTGAAGCGAAAGATAATAGCAGCTTAGCGCGGACTGCTGATGGTGGTTTACAGTCAACGTATGAACGGTCGCATACCAGTCCAAGTAGTCACAGCAACATTGACAGTGTTAGTGTAAGTGACAGCAGTGGTAGCTTAGCTTTAAAGCCTGCATACAAACTATCCGGCAACTCGTCACTAACTGTGAATAGTCGGAACATCATTGTGGACAACAATAACGTCAAGGTGGAGGTGAAACCTCAAGTGTCTTTAAATGGTATGGTTGAAGTGATTAATAAACCTGATGGTAACGATAGTGGAATCACAATAGGTAGTGCTGTTTCTTCGGTTGCTTTTGCTGATGTAGCTTTTTTGAGTTCTTGGGATAAAGACGAAATTGGATTTTTGAGCGTGGAGAATGTAGGCGTTGGTGGCAATAGCGTCAGTCACAGTGATAGCAGTACTGACAGGGCTAACATTCAGTGCCCTATGAGCAAAATGATGTTGTTCAAATAAACACATGCTGTCACATCTTGTTTTAGTGAGGTTCAGAGCAGTCTAGGTCTTTCAACTTGAAGTCAACGAAATATAAATATCGTACAACGGTAGGCAACACATAATACGATCATTTCCATGCGTCAATTCATAATATGTGTTGCCTCGACACTTGCAATGAAAAATAAAGTTTTGTTGAAATTATTGACACAGACAAAGTTTAGAGCAGATTGTGATGGAATATATTGATTGACTGCAAACTGTTTCTTATTATTGTGTAGAAATCAGGTGGACTATGAGCATGTCTCTCGGAATATAATGGACATATCAAACAAACGCTTTGTAGAAATTGTGTGGATGGTGGTTCGGGTACAGATGGAAACTGGTAGTCTGTTGCACTGACATGTTTGTTGCGCAATTACCATTAGCAATGTGGTGCGTGTGAGTCAGTGGATAGCCTCGTATTTCATAATTTAGAGAAAGGCTATCAATTATTGGACATATATTAACCTCTGCAAAAATATCACGCTGTCATTAAATCGGTGGTGCCATAAAAGTTATGGTGAAAGATGTTTGCACCTTACTGTTTAGCCTAATGTGTAGTAATTTCTTAGCAGCTGCTTTGTCATGCTTCTTTGTGCAACATCCACTCGTAACGTTTCACTCCCGTTCAAGTTTTAAAGTAACAAAAGTTAGTGTTCACGGACATATTTATACACAGTTCATAGTGGGCATGGTTATACCCGTTTCGTTGGAAATTATCATTGATGCAGTTTATCAGCTGTTCATATTAACAGACAGTGCAATTAATAATTTTCATCGTCTAGCGGCATTCTTATTGGAATGAAACGCACTAGGAGCATAGTGAGTTTCTGATTATTATTGACGTTCATTCGACTGTGAGTCTTTTGCGCGAGACGTTCATAAAATCTTTCCAAGTTTCGAAGAATTAGACGATTGACTGTATTGTCTAGGCCTTATGTTTGTCAGAGAGTACAGTAGTCATATTTCACGTTAGCCGGACGTCAACAATCCACGCTGAAAGGTCGGATTGCGATTTCGATCAAGTAAATGTATTATTGCTCCTAAACTAACTCCTCAATGACACACGATACTACTGCGGCTATGTTTATTTGTCGGTATCTTCAGAAATATACTATGATTTGTGATATGGTAAATGATCTGAAACGTTCAACAAACAGATCATGGTTTCCAAAGTTAGCATGCTAGCAAGGATACTAAATGGATTTCAGTGTGGAAGAGTTTCAGAATACTCATTGTGTATTCGAAATATTCTGCACATTGGTGTCAACACAACAGATTTCACGTAAATGCATTTGATTTCACTCTGATGCATGTAGTGGATTTTCGATTGTTAAAAATGCACAAAGGTCGGTTACATATTCATTGTCTTCTTAAAATTGATTCGGCTCACTGCATTTTACAGCATAACAGATTTTTAAAGGATTCTGTTAAGTGCATAGGATATTTCGATTGATAGATTAGATTTGACCTCCTCGTAATGCATTACACCAACTGTGATTGCCCTAAATATTGTTCACTCTATCGTGATATTTTCATGCAGAATATACATATTCAGGTACTTGTGCGTATATTTCTTGTATACGACTTCATAGACGACATGAATTGGAAATCTTATTCGTTTCTTGAATTTCGTATATATATATATGTATATATATATATTCTGCTTCTTTCTCACTTGAAACATACACAACGACAAATCATGACATGAAACTATTTTTCAACTTAATTCTAAATTATGAAACATTCAATGAAAACGTTCTGCTGCTAATTATAAAACAATGTGTCCAACTTAGTTTCTAGTAGCTAGTGATTTTCTGTTGTTCTAATTGAGCTGCAGATGTGATGGATTCTGGTAAGTAGGGAAGAAACAAGTACACATATTATAGATGAATTGTAGCTAGTAATGGAATCGAGAATGTCCGTTCCGTTATATTTTGTTCTCGTCAATCGGAGGGGGAATGCACCTCGGAGTTATTATTCACTCCGGAATAAGAACTCAATCTCCGAAATTCGTCCACAGCTGATTGACTTTGGGTCAAAGTTTCATCAGTGAGACAATGGAAAAATCAGTTTTCAAGATAAAGTCCGATGCCGTCTAAAAACTGACAGGTAGAAAGTTTCACTTTAAGATGACTATAAATGTTCGGAATGACAGACAGCTTGGCAAAAGATCTGGCATGCCACTCATCTCTTACATCGTTTAACTGCTGTTATTCTATCAAATAATCAATCGACATGATTAGGTAAATGATATCTTTGTTAAAATATAACTCCGCCAGTCGAACCTTTAGAGCTACTGCCGGTTCCAAGCCCGGGTAAAGGAGTAGGGTTTGACATGGGGTTGGTGACAGAAATGAAAAAATACAACTTCGAGGAGCTTAGCATCATTGAAACGCACTGGACATAGGCAGGACAACTGAGACTAGCTTCAGGGAAACTGCTGTTATATTCTGGTCATGAAGAGGAAAGTGCTTCACATACACAAGGAGTTGCACTGATGCTGTCCAAACAAACACATAGGGACTCTGATAGTATGGGAATCTCATGGAACCAGGATCGTTAAAGCCTCCTTCAAAACAAAGTAAGAGGACATAACAATGAATGTCATCCAATGTTATTCACCTACAAATGACTACAATAACGACGTTAAAGATCAATTTTATGAAAAGCTGCAGTCAATCCTCGACAGATGCTCACCAAAGGATTCGACCATTCTCATGGGTGACCTGAATGCCAAGGTTGGAACGGACAACACTGGATATGACGACATGGGACGACATGGAATGGGAGAATGGAACGAAAATGGTGAGAGATTTGCAAACCTATGTGCTTTCAACAAACTGGTCATCGGTGGCACAATTTTCTCACACAATGCATAGAAAAAGCCACATGTACTTCAACGGGCCACACTACTCAAAACCAAATTGACCATATATGTATCAACAAAACGTTCAGAAGCACCATTGAGCATGTGAGAAGCAAGAGAGGAGCTGATATAGCTTCAGATCACCATTTGCTGATGGCCAAAATGAAACTGAAACTAAAAAAGCACTGAACAACAACATCAGGACTATCTTCGTTACTATTAACTTTAAGCTAACGAAAGTTATGTACTCAGGTGAAACTTACGATTTCCTCTTGCGTTGATCCTATAAGCATTAACTTGGTCCCAAGTTTTAATAAAATGCATGACAATGTTGTTGAATCGACAACAGGATCGTCTATGAAGTTAAAGAACATTAAAAATTAGCACAAACAAACTGCTTGCTGTCCGGAGACCCAGAAATTTATGGTTCTTCGGCAATACTCTAGTTACTTTGAACAGTTCTTCTTTAAGATCGGATACGCTGTGATTACAACTTAAGGAGTCAACCACGATCGGCTGACCGTTGTACTTCAATTGTAAGCTGACTCTACTGGTCGTCTCTGTCATCCGTACAGTTAGCCGGATATCAAGGTCACTATGTTCTTCACGCGCTGGAATACGATATCTCCAATATCCAATATATTTTTAGCGATCTAGTATATACCAATTGATTTCTTTGTGCTTAATTTTTGTTCTTTCGATACGGTTCCAGGTGCTTGTTATTATTCAATGAATAGGGGTGCAGCCACTTTTTCGCACTAATTTTAATCCAACATCCAATACCCAATAATCCAATATCTGTTTCACGATCTTGTATAACCCAGATGATTTATTTGCGCCCGATTCCTGTTCTTTCGGTACGGTTCTACGTGTTTGTCATTTGTTTCTGAGTTCTCATGTTCTGTGATTTGAATGAATACGTTTGTTTTCAGTGTAGTAGGTTTAATAATCCTTATGTGAGTACGTGTTTATTAAGTCTCTACTTAAAGCAGTAAACTGAGAGGGTTGTGGTCACATTTGCTAGGAGAGTATTCGAAGTTGCAACAACTTCTAATGAGCCAACATATGAGCGAACCCGGATGTTCGCTCTTTGATCCGCAATTCTTCGAGCATTACCTAGGGATGCACAGTGGTGATGCATCGGTAAGGTGCGCAGGTCGGGTTGGTTTGGCGTGCCTAATATGTTGTATGCCATGATCAAAACACCAAGTGGAAAGTCCTATCTTCGTAATTTTTATTTTTCGACCCAATGCTCGTCTCCGCACTCGATCCAAGAGATTTACGTCTCTTTCAAGGAGAGTGGTGGGACGACGTTGTGAACTGCAAGGTGTGAGTGCGCATATGTCTTAAGCAATGTTAAGAACAAATCTTGGGTGACAGCACCCAGATGTCTTTGAATAAAAGGAAGAGTTGTATTAGCCTTGGCTGCATCCATTCAGTAGTTCGAATTCATGTCTATCATTTCGTTGGTTATTAAATTCAGATCTCTCTCTGGGGCATTAGGAACCGTAATTTCAGTGATGATGTAAGTTGTTTGTGGCACGTTTCTCAGTATGCATAGAACGAGAGGTTTCCACCGTTCGAGTCACAAACGATTTTTTACTCTTCATTCCTCAATCGCTGTAAAATCTTTTTGAAACTCAAATGAATCGCCTTAGTTGGTTCTGCAGTTATCAGTGTTTATGACTTGGTGGACAGCTTCATGATTCATAATTGAGCAATACGCTACTGCTAACAGATCTCATACTATCTTGTATAAAAACATTAAGTTGTTATTCAATCGGTGGTGCGATAAAAGTTCTGAGAAAACATATTTGTACTCAGCTGTGTAGTTGATAGTGTGGTCGCATTCTAGCAGTCTACTAGTCAGGCTATATTGATTATCGTCCACTTCTATCATGTTAATGATGTTGGTGTTTTAAATAAACAACAGGCAGTGTTCGTGTGAGGGCTTTATTCACATTATCTTTTTTTGTTACGAAGTCCTTATTGATGAACCTCACCAGCCATGTATATTCAAAGATCATGAAACAGGTATGTTATTTAAATTTCAAGCTTCTTCTGAGGCAATCATTTGATTTCACCATTTGTTGGAGTTCACACTGAAATAAACTATTAATGATGACTTAATAAAAGTCGAAGAATAGGTTGAATAGGACGGATACTGGTGGGCCTCTGCTTTTTTTCTGTCAGATAGTTGATTGGGCATGTTTCACATAAATCGGACCTCAAGGATCCATGCTGGAAGGTCGGAATGAGATTTCTGTCAAGTAGACGTCGTATAATCGCTCCTTTACTACTTTCTCAATCAGTCAAGATACTACCGATGCTATGTTAATGCGTTTGCGATTTCAGAAATATGCTGTGATTTATGATATGATAAATAATCCAAGAAGTACAACACAAAGATCGTCACTTACAATTTTAGCATGCTAGCTAGGGTTTATCAGTGAAGAAGAGTTTAAGAGTACTCATAGTCTTGGAAATATTCTGCAAACTGGTGTCGACATAACTTATTTCATAGAAAGGCATTTGGGTCGACTGTGATGCATGTTGTTAAATATGCGCAGGGTGTTCGCTAGATAGCTGTATAAAACATTCAATGTCTTTGTAAAAGTGATTAGGTTCAGCAGATTAACCACCTCATTTCATTTGAGGGCATTACACTGTATTTCAAAGGATTTTGTTAAGTGCATAGGATATATCGATTGATAGACTTGATTAGGCCTAAACGAAGTTCACTGCGCCAATTGTTCTTGTCTAAAATATGGTTTATCTTTTCATGATATTTTCATGGTTCTCTATTGCTCTGAATATCCTCCAAGTAGAGGTTTTCTTGCATTTCTTCAACGATCCCCGTGAATATGTTTCAATGCAAAAATGAATAGTGATTGCACTTTCGGAAGAAATATTTGAAAGCTCGGACGTGCATATTTCTTTTACTGCCAGGCGAAAATTTTCATCGAAATATATGGTTAACTTTGAAAGCTGGCCCCAAGGGTACCTTCAAATATAGCAAATCAACTTCCTAATATTTTCACATAATATTCTGAACTTAACAATATTAACAGTCAGTGTCAGTTCTGAAAAGTACATTCACAATTGTGAGGTACGCTTCCTGAGGTTCTGTTGATTTAAATACAGGAAATTTGATACCGTTGATATGTCTGTGAACATGTGAGGGATATTTTGGTGTCATGTGCATAGATTTTACACATTCGTTTTTGTGACTACAAAGGCGCTGTAACAGATATCGCTTGAGAGGCAATAAATCTGTACTATTTCAAAGACATAATGAATTTCAATGAACATTTGCTTGTTGAATCTCATAACTTCATCAAATGTAACCTTCAGAAAATTTGCTGTTTTCTCACTTGAAAAATGCTCAACGACAAATCATGATTTGCACATATTTTTCCAAAGAATTCTAAATTCTAGAATTCTCGATACAAACTTTCAGCAGCTTAATTAATTTTCCGTTGTTGAAATCGTGCTAGAGATTTGATCAATTCTGGTTAGTGCATGTGCATCGTGTGCGAGTTGCCTTGACATAGTCAGGACGATACAAGTTAAGATGGAATAGATGAGATGTAGCTAGTAGTGAAACCCAAATGTCCTTCAAGTGCTTTACGAAACTCATCATTTGGAGATGCCTGCATCTCAGAGTTAATATTCATTCCATAATTAGAATTCAGTACCTTCTATCCGAACTCTGTCCACACCTGATCCAATTTTGGTTGAAGTTACACCAGCGAGATGATGGAAACAGTCAGATATCAGGTAAGAAGCAGACCTGTTCAAAAACTGTGAAACTATTTCAATAATGAGACTTTTGAGGTGATCGATATTGGATTTAGGCGTTGTAGTGAATATCAGATCCGGCGTGAAGATACATCAAACTGACGGCCCCCAGATAAACCAAAATTCTCACCTTAGAATCAGCAACTAGTCACATTCCATCTACTCTAAAAATAGTGCTAATATTAACCTTCCCGTTTGTCAACACTTCTACTTTTATTTTGTTATCTTCATCTGGTCCTGCTGCATTGATTTACCAAGTAGGGCTAACACACTTTTATGCCACTCTCGGCATTGTTTGAACTGATTGACTGACTATCAACTTAGTATCAAACAATGCAAGCAAGTGTTTAGATGCCCCATATGTTCACGTAAACAGCACTGAAGTGGTTGCATGACACATTGCATAGTCTTATAGATTTTTTTGTTCGTGTGGCCTATTCTGAAGTGAGTTTCCCGGTAATGAGAATGTCAATCGACAGATAATGTTCATTTTGTCGGCATTTAGTTAACGACCACTTACTGAAATGGAAACCGTGGCTGAAAAGATTTTGGCAACGAAATGTTTTATGCGTAACACTTATAGTTGGTGGAAATTCTCACTATTAGATGACACTAAAGTGTTGGACAGATAGGGTATTTGACAAATGATTCAGTGTACCATTCATCACTGCTAACTGTTGTCATTCTATCAAATAATCAATTTCCATGATTAGTGTATAGCGAATCGTACAATATACTACTTAGCAGGATAATAAATGGTAATCCCGATAGGCTAGGATCAAATAAAAATGTGATTCTAGAGGAAGAAATATATTTAATGCTAGCCTCGTGATATGAAATAATATCAAGTGTATAATTCAGAGTTGACTCTGATTAGGACAACTGAGACTGGCTTCAGGAGAACTGCTGTTATAATTCTGGTCATGAAGAGGAAAATGCTTCACATACACAAGGAGTTGCACTGATGCTGTCCACTTGCTGGTCGCTAAAACAAAACTGAAACTAGAGAAACGCTGGATAATTGGGAAGACAACATCACAGAAGTTTAATACGGCCTTTATTTGGGATACCGTTAAACTCAACGAATTCAGGATAGCCCTCACCAATAGGTTCCAGGCTTTCAGGATCTACTCAATGGAGAGGAAGCAACATTGAAGTACAATTCGAAGGGGATTAAAGAGGCAATCACTTCAACAGGAAGTTCTGGGTCACTACGTAGTGATGGATATTTGCTGGAATTCTGAACATACAATATATGTGTAACTCAAGGCACATTAAGTGAAGTTTGAAATTGTAAGATTGTAATTATTCAGTTTGTATACCATTGCTTTAGCCTGCATTTTTCGTTAAAACTAACTATGAATTTAGATAAACTCTTTGTATTTTTATGAGACGTTATTAAAATAATAATAGTGGTACAACTCCATCGTAATTCAACTGTCTGGTCGAATAATACTCGGAATCAAAGCACTAAATTGAGATATTTGTGAATGCGTTCCATACATTCCAATCTATTCTTTGGAAAAGTCTATTGAAAGCGTGTAGAACTGAATATCACTTTTATACATGTACAGTGTATGTTAGCAGGAAATCAGTCACACTGACAAATGTAATCGAACTTTAATTTATTTAGGAACAGTTATTGAATAAATTAACACATTATAGTTAGTGGCGTCAAATGAGAATAAAGAATATTGAAAATGTTATTATGATGCAAATGAGTGACGTTTCACTAGAGAATAAAGCACTAAATTTGAAGTGTAATC